GAAAATGAGCATCGATTTAACTATCATATTGGCATTTGAAAAACGTGTTTAGAAAGAACAATTACTTAAATTTTACTTTTGAATAGTGATGTGACAAATGTTCTATGAATCTAAGCAATTTAACCTCTGATAAAGCAAACTGTTGTTGACTTCAAAATATTCTGTACTGCTATCTGTACTGCTAATATGTTTTTTCCATCAATTCCTTTCTTAATTGATCACTCTGTTTCCCTCTGCCTCCCACGGCAGTCTTTTCCCTGTAAAAGGACCGATCTGTCTAAGGTAGAAAAATTAAATTTCTATGTATTGATTGCTATGTCCGCATGTAGTTAACTTGCAGAGGCTATGCTAATTGTTTATCTGTCTTGTTTAACTTCACTTTTTAAATTTTTTTTTTTTTCTGCAGAAATTAATTTACTTTTCTGTTTGTACTCGGGTCAGACAGCATGATATCTAATTTGTAACCCTAATGAAGGAAATGCTTTCTGTTATTGTAGAAAGTAGTTTTATAAAACTTCTGATTTGTACCATTGTTATCTTCTAAACAGAAAACAGACACTAAATTGCATCATATCTTCCTAGCTTTTGTGATATTCAGGAAATAATAACCCGTTTACTGTGGTGGGTTTTTTTTTGTTTATTTTTGTTTTTTTTTTTTTACATCAGGCTAGAATTTGAGAGACAACAACGAGAGGAGCTTGAAAAATTAGAAAGTAAAAGGTAACATTATTCTCTGTGGTCTTTATATGTGTGTGAATATATATAAATATTGTAGACCAATTTAAATGATTCATTTGGAATAACAGTGTTCCTCAGCAAGCAGAGGATCCTCAGATAAATAATTTTATCTTGTTTTATCTTCTGTGAAGATGTTGGTTATTTTCTTGAACCGTTGGTTATTTTCTTGAACCGTTCATTCGTATTGGTTAATAACAGATAGACAAGCTGAATTGTAGCTAAATGTGATCTTTAGCAAAGGAAGTGCCAAACACAAAGTTATGAGGATGGTAGATCATACAAATGTAATAGGTTACTCTTGCTCTTAAATTTCATGGTATTATTTTAAAAGATGGGAAATTAGATTGTTTATTTAGATCTTTTTATGATTTAGTTGCCTTAGGAGTGAATCTTTATTAGATAAACTGATGCTATAAACTGCTTCTCTTAAATATAACTGTAGTGCTGGTATGGGCTTACTCATCAGGACATTACTTAGAAATCAGTTTGAAGTACAAAAGAAAGTATTGTTGTCAGCTGGCAAACTGAGCTGACTGTTCTGACTCATCATACCTACTAAGATTTTAGAAGTAATTGCACTCACCTTGTTGCAGATCACAGTATTGATTAGATTCATAAGCTGAAAGACACTTTCTGCTATCTCAGCTTTAGGCTGCTTGCTCCATTTTGAAAGAGCTGTTTGTATAGTTGAACTAAGTTAAGTAAACTCAGAAAAATCCTGGAACTCTGAAGCATTAGAAGATATTCAGAAAATTAAGCAACAGATTCACTGATGTTTATCCTCTTTTGTTATGTTGATAGGATTTGAATTCAGGTTGTGCTGAAGTTGCTTCGCTTGTGCTTTAATTTATCTGTCTTTAACTCCTCGCAAAATAACCCACTGACTCGCAGGTTGTCTCTACAGACGTTTGTATTATGGTGATAATGGTGACCTTCAAGTCTTGGTCTGTCCTCATTTGGAACGCCCTAGAACCTTTAAAAGAAAGATTACACAGGACATAATAATTTGTCTTGGAGTAATTCCTCTCTCAAATATGTCTGTTCTTAATCTTATCCTGTTTATCAAATAATTCAGTTGGGTTTTGATTTGTCTGTTGGCTTACATTTGGCAAGTTTCTAATCAAGTCCTTTTGTACAAGTTTGTGTATATATAAATATATATTAAAAAATATATATATATTTACTCTTTACTATGTGCATGGATGTGTTCTATCAATATTTTAATTGGATTTGGCAGAACTAATACAGTCTAATTTTCTACTAACATAAGTGGTATGTAACATATCTTCCTAAACTTTAGATCCACAACTTTTTATGTTGAAGTAGAGGATATGAATCTCCTTATGTCTTGTGCATTGAGTCACTTCCAAGCAATGCAAGATCTTAACCCGTGGCAAAGCAAAACTATTAAAAAAAGAAACTGTTACATATACTGCAAAATCCTTGTTCAAACTTTTTTTTCTAAGGGATATGTTGCCTTTTGGAAAAAAAAGTTTAAAATATTGCATGTAAATGTTTTATTGTAGGAAACAAATAGAAGAGATGGAAGAAAAACAAAGATCTGATAAAGCAGAACTTGTAAGAATGCAGCAAGAAGTAGAGTCACAGCGCAAAGAAACAGAAATAGTACAGCTGCAAATTCGAAAACAGGAAGAGAGTCTGAAACAGAGAAGCGTTCACATTGAGAGCAGGTTAAAGGATTTGCTGGCTGAAAAAGAAAAATTTGAAGAGGAGAGATTACGGGAACAACAGGAGATAGAGATTCAGAAGAAAAAGCAGCAGGAAGAAATTTTTGCCCGGGTCAAAGAGGAGTTGCAGCGACTACAAGAACTTAATCATAACGAAAAAGCAGAAAAAATGCAGATTTTCCGTGAACTAGAGAAACTTAAAAAGGAAAAAGATGAACAGTTTATTAAGCTGGAATCAGAAAAAAGGAGACTTGAAGAACAAGAAAGGGAGCAGATGGTGCTGGTGGCTCATCTAGAAGAACAGCTTCGAGAGAAGCAGGTCATGATAGAGCTCCTGAAGAGAGGGGATGTACAAAGAGTTGAAGAAGAGAAAAGTGATCTTGAAGATATTAGAGAATCTCTTTTGAAAGTCAAGGAAGCCCGATCTGAAGGTGATGAAAACTGCGAAGAGTTAGAAAGAGCACAACATGATTTCGTAGAATTTAAAAGGAAACAACTGGAACAGTTGACTATTTTGGAAAAAGATTTAGTTCAACAAATGGATCACCTTGAAAAGGAAATTGCAGATGAAAAAATTGCTCTGGAACACCTAAAATTTGCACATGAAGAACATTTAAATCTCAAGAGAGATGATGAAAACTTTTTGGATGCTGTACTCCAGGCTGAAGAATTTGACAAGTTAAAGCCAGCGGAGTACAGGCTCCAATCTAAAGTGCGCCAACTTGAGTACCTGAAGGGTAATCATTTGCCAGCTCTGCTGGAAGAAAAACAAAGAGCTTCTGAAATTCTTGATAGGGGTTTACTAGGGTTAGATAATATGCTCTATCAAATAGAGAAAGAAATAGAGGAGAAAGAAGAGCAGCTTGCCCAGTATAGAGCTAGCACAAATCAGCTGCAGCAGCTTCAAGAAACCTTTGAATTCGCAGCCAATGTAGCTCGTCAGGAAGAAAAGGTTCGGAAAAAGGAAAAAGAAATCCTTGAATCAAGGGAAAAACAGCAGAGAGAGGCACTGGAGCAAGCTGTTGCTAAGTTAGAAAGGAGACACTCTGCTTTGCAACGTCGTTCGACAATAGATTTTGAAATTGAAGAGCAGAAACAGAAGCTTGCCACCTTGAACAACAGCTGCAGTGAACAGGCAGGTCTGCAGGCTAGTCTAGAAGCTGAGCAGAAAGCCCTCGAACAAGACCGAGAACGGTAAGTGTTGTGGTAGCTTTCGTTTATTAGAACCTATCCACAAAAAGTGAACCATTTTATACCTTAGATTTTGAGTGAGCGGCTTGTTCTGTGCCCCAGTACTTGAGTTTTGTGATGAGTTTGAAGTAGTTTTACCCAGAATTGAAACTTTGTATTACTTCTTAAAGGATTCTTGCTCACTCATTCATTTCTGTTGTGGTCGGATACTTATCCCATCCTTCACAGTACAGTACTTGCATTAGCCATCACAGTACTTGCATAAATTGTGTTCAGAAAGCCTAGCCAACTTATGTTCCGTCCTTACAAAAATGTGTACCATCTAACAACTTTTTTCTCTTAAAATATTAATGTATGGTATTATGTTTCTTTATTTGTAACAAGCTAGGCGTTTGTTCAAGGTTTGGAGATTGATAGTTATGGTAGACTTCCAACAACTTTCTTAACTGGTGATGTGCCAAATACTTCTGATATTCAAAGTAAACAGATGTGATGTTTAATTTCTTGTTACTGGTTTCAGGGCTAAATAAAATAGACTAGCCATATATCCATGTAAAACTTGATGGTGGTTTTTAAGCTTATTGGAAAATATACAGAGGCTTTAATACAGCCCTATGTGATGACAAACCGTTTTAGGTACAGAAGCAATGTCATCAGTTATACATGTGGTATCTGGTAGTGTAACAGTTAGCCTAAGTATGGGAGGCTCAGAGGAAAAGGATTCAGGTAAGGAAGGATCTTTCTGTGTGGAAGAAGAGGAAGAAATCTTTTGTTTTATTTTTGGCCTGAGCAAAAGTCCACTGGGATTAATGCATTTAATCCATGCAGTATGGAAAAAGGGCAGAATTGCCGTTTTTAAATGTGTTGTCTGATTTGCTAATACTAGAGCTTTAAAACCTGTGATTATTGGTGAAACAATGAAGTGGTTTTTTTTCTTGAAGCAGCATGTCATTTGTTGTTTTTTTTTTTTTAATATTCCAGTAATTATCTGACTCTTCTTTCATAAGCCCTTCAAACAGACACTTGATTAGAAAAAACACCTAAAAAACCCTTCCCTGTAGCCAAATTGAAGAGCTCTTCTGTATTCTTTTCCTTTTAAACCATTATCAAAGAGAATAGTTCCTTTCTGTGTCCATTTTAGAGATCACTTTTCAACATTTAGAGCTACATTGTGTGGATTTTAGTTAAACATTTTCAATACTGATTTATAGTTTTGTTGTGGGTATTGCTGTTATTTTTTCATAATTGTCTTGAACATAAAATCTCATTTTCTACACTAAGCATCTCGCTTGACTGAAGTCAGCTATAAACAACTGGAGATTCCACAAAAATAGACAGCTTAACCCTCAAGAGATTGTTGGGTTGTGCAATAAGTGAAAAAATATGTTGTCAGCTAGAAGGCTGAGGTCTGATACCAAGGAATTGAAAAGGTCTCTTTCTTTTTTATATTTTTTTTCTTGTTTACTTTAAAGTGCTCTTGCACAAATAAATAAAACTTTGAAGTCTTTCAGTGAATCGCCCAGAGGCCTGAATAATTCAATTCAGAATGTTTTTATGAATGTTGAGGGAGAACAAAATCTTAAGATACGTGATAGTATGTTGAATGCTTCAGGCTACTTATCAGTCTTGTGTTTGAGTTTACACTTCACAGCACACAATGTCTTGAGTGCTATAGTAAGCATATGAATTGTATATGTTTCATATTGTTTATTTAGATACCATTATGTGAAGATGTGCTCTGGTTCAGATCAGTGTTAACTCTGAAGGTGTTGAAATGCAATAGTCATTTGAAACTCTCTCTGAGCGTAACTCCATCATAACCGGATAAAATGTTTTTTTCCAGTTTGAATAATACGTTAGCACAAATTCTTTGACTTACTGGGATGGCCCCCCCAAACCATTAATTTGAAGTTAACTTGCACTGGAGTAATGCATGCATGTTTTTCTCTTTACTGGCAGAGGTTTGTGGCAATAGAATGAACACAAAACAACTTTACAGTCATGTTTGAGACAATGAGATGTATCGCTTGCAAGTGGCGAGGTGCAGTTTAGTGTACTTACTGGTGGATGCATCACACGGCTGGATAAGTTTATAGCTGTAGGAGGTGATATCTTTTGATAGTAGGATGTTTACAAATCAAGAGATAAGCTTTGTTTTAATATGATTCTGATTTTTGTGGTAAAATTGATTTTCTATAGATGCAAACACTCTCCTATATCCATCAGCAATCTCCCATCCACTTTCCCTCAGGATGCAAGGTTGTTTTGCTGCTAATCAAAAGAAACAGATGGCTTCTGGCAGTGCTGCAAAAAGTACTCTAAAAATGAAGTAACAATTTAGCCTGCTTAAGTGCATCCTAAGCCCAGCATTCGTCATCTCTTTAATTTTCTGTTTTAACCTCCAGGATAGAATAAAGTAGTCGTGGCATTTGTACTTCAGTTAGATATATACAATTGTAGGATAAGTGGTAGAATCCCAACTTTGCATAGTTTCCCCTGCTTTTGCAGGAACTTCTTTTCTTTTGTTCTTTAATTTTCAAGTAACCTCTAGAAAAACAATTACGTTTAGAGACAAAAGTTGTAATGGAAATGAGGAAGATTATTACTATGTTACTAATCTAATCTCAGCTACGTTACAAGTGAAAAGTGTGTTCTCTAGATTACTTTATTATAATATAGTTTAATTTGTCTAAGTGATAAATATTGCAAGAAGTACTTTTTATTTTATGTTGGGTGCCTCAGGCATTTTCAGTCAAAAATACGGTATCCAATTTTACATATTCTATTCTGTGCATAAATCTAGCTGGTATTAAATTTATTTGTTAAAGAAAGTGAGGAGATTTCCATTTCAAAAGATGATTTATTAAGTATATATAAAATAAGTACTATTTTATTTATGTAAGTAAATTTTCAATATTTTATATACAGACCAAAGGAATAACTAGAAAATAAGATTTATATGTATAGCACCCAATTTAAAGAATTTTTTTTTTTAATAGATGCGTTTTGCCACATCAATGTTTTACGTTGACTTTGTGATTTTGGATTAGTGCTGTATTTTGAGGTTTTAATCTTTTTTGTCCCCCCCATTTATTGATTCACTTCACACTGGAAGCTAATAACTGAGGTCACTGCTAGAGTTCTGTAATGAGGAAAGTTTATTCAAGTGGTCCTAATAGACAGGTTAGGTCTTAAGAATTAATATTTAATGTGCTGAGTTATATAACTTTTGCATTGGAAGTTCTGAAGTTGTTTTATTTAGCTTAATACTGCTGTTATAATGTAGTTGTGAGCTGTCTCTATTTTCCTATGTAAAAATGCTTAAAGAACAATTATGATTTTTCTATCTTCGTAAGTATTAGTATTTATGATCTTACATATATGTATCCCAGCGTAAGTACAGTGCTTCCCATAAAAACTATGGCAATAAACCCTAAAACAGAGCAAATTACAATTTAAGATCTCTTTATAGCCTGGACCAGGAAATTCAGCAGCTGAAGCAAAAAATATACGAGGGTGATGGTGGTCAGAAAGGAAATCATGGAACGTTAGAAGAGAGACTCTCCCACACCACTTCCCCTACCAGCCCAACAAAGCCGCAGCCTCCCACTGCTCCGCTAGTTGATGATAGGTAGGTAACCTGCATTTCTGCAGTGTTTTGGAAGGAATGCAAACAATAGCTTTAGAAAATAAATATTTTGAAAGATCATCCTTCCAGTGTTGGATTTTAATTAGTGTAATTGTACTTAAAGACTAGTCTGGAAATAAAATTAATTTGCTGGGTTTTATTTGAAATAACCAACAGCCCCATCTGTTGCTTTTGTGCAGTTTGTTTTTGAAATAGGTGTGGAAACTGTAGGCTAAAATGTATTTAAATTGCTTTTGTGTTTACAGTTACTTGTCTATATGGTATTGCTTTATGTACGCTTAAAGCAACAAAGTAAATGAAATTGTCTTAGGCCTTCTTTAGTAGGGCAGCTGCCTGGCATCACTTAAAATCTATTTAATCTCAGTTCTTTTTACACTTATACATGCGGTTGTTAGTATCAACTCTTGGAACCCTTTCCTCCTGTTTAAAGACCAAACCTTTGTTAGCCCAAGCTGTAGATATCGCAAAAGTGATAAAAGCAAACCATTGAGTAACTAAAGATGCAACCCCAGCCGCTGCTGCTGCCTTCTTCATCACTCTTACCCTCACTGCCACGTGTATGTAGAGCCGTACACACAGCAGTGGCTTAACTTGTGGTCCATTAAATCGTCTAATTGTGATAACAAATTGTTAACCTTTGTCTGTTAAATGAACACTTGCTCAAATGTCCACGTTTCTTAAGGAGGGATAAAACTGGTCTCACATTAAGCCTGCCAATTAAGAGTTGTGCAATACTTAGGGTTCATAGGTGTTTCAAAGAGCCCTTTAGACTGTCTTGATTTTTATCTAAGAATATACTTTTTTTCCTCTGCTCTTCTGTATCTTGAAGAATAAATGCCTTTATTGAACAAGAGGTGCAGAGAAGGCTCCAGAATATTCATCATAAAGCAGAGGACAATGATGTTAGCCTGTCCTGGTCTACAGAAAGTTTAAAGGTGAGCAGAGATGGGTAGGAAATCCTGACTGTCAATGCACCATGTGTAACCACTGATTTAGTTTTGTTGTTCAGTAATTTTCACGTTTTCCTATGTTTACTTCATTTAATTTACCAAAAAAGTAAACAGCGAATAAGAGATATCAGTTTTAGATTTTGATCATCTTTTTTTTTTCCCAGTGGTTGTTTTATGTTGTACTCAATTTTTTTTGCAGGGAAGAGTGTGAAAATGGGAATAGAAAGCTTGTAGATAAAATAAAAATCTATTTTATATCTGTAAAATACACTGATAAATTTCTGTCCAGAAGAATGGTAATTGGTTATATTTGCAAACAAATGCTCATTTAAAAACTGGTGATCTAATTAATCCAAAGACTGAGTTGACTTCTACACCAGTGGTTTAATCTAGTATTGATTTAACTATTAATATTAATATTTCTTGATGAATAAATATCAAGAAAATAGTATTTTTTGGCTATTAAAAAGAATGTATCTTCCTATGAATGCTTTTAAACAAACTTACATGAGAAAGACACTCTTCTTAGTAATCACCTCTACCTCTTTTGTTCTTAGGATAATGAGAGGCTTAATAATGGCACTATTCAACGCAGGCTGAAGTATGAGGTAGGTCATAATTTGTCAGAATGACATGGTTGTCGTAAATTATGGCATGCCCTGTAATTAAATTTTGTAATGTTTAGCTGCATAATTAAAATTTTTGAATTCACAGCAAGATTAATGGCTAATAGAGACAGTAATGCGTTTTGCCAGCTGGACTTAAAGTGATTTTTTTCTGATTGGGCATGTCTTTTTCCTTATTTGAAAGGTGTGGCGTTATTCAGGATCTTTCTTCCTTATTTTGTCATGATTCTTAGTTTGGAACAGTATCCCTTTCCTTTTTTTTAAAAGATAAAAGCATTTAATGAGGAGAGGTTGAATTCAGAATATCACTTCACGTTATTGACTCAATGAACTACTGCAAGGGTGTCTGTAATATTGTCAAGAAGCATTGGGCAAATTTGCCTATGTCATGAGGGATTCATGAATGTATTTTTAAACTGAGGCTTAGACACCCCTCCCACCATATTTAGTTGACTAACTTTTGCTTGAAGCAAGGTTAATTACTTATCTTGGTGAGTAAATCGTAAATACCTCTATGGATTTAAACCTTAATAGTAGGAGGGCTGCAACACCTTTAACTCGGACTTTTTTGTTCTTTTACACTGTTATTTTTAAACTGTGTTGGACTTTTTATGCTGTCTTGGATAGTATAAGATTACTTTTTTGTGCATATGTGGAAAAATACTAAAGGGCTTATGAATTTTTGTGTCACCCTTTGTCTTTCCTGTGGTTTTCGAGTAAAGCAAATAAAAACCAAGTGAAATGGATACTGTACAAAGAAAAAGCAGTGGTGGGCTGGGAAGATCAACCATTCCTGAATCAGACCTCAATCACTTCTGTTGGATTTTCTCTCTCTAATTTTGAGAGATTTTACAAACCTAATCAAAATCAATCTTCAATTTAAGAAATATTCAAATCAGAAGGTTTTATAAAGACATTTCTGTTTTCTTTTGAAATTTTTAACAGAAAAGTCAACAGTGGCAGCCACATTATGGCTTTCCATTTATGTCTAAAGATGGCAATTGTGCTTCTGAGTTGTGTGGAGAAAACCCAGGAGTAAGAAACCGTAAAAGACAGAAGGAATATACAGAGATGTGGGATTTATTTTCCAGTTCTGGAAGAATCTCCTCCCCTTTTACATCAGAGAAGGCATTTGAGAATGAAAGGAGTAATTCAGAACAAGAGAGCTTTGCTTGTCATTGTGACATTGAAAGTAGTTTATTTCACTCTAAAAATATTAATACTTTAAAGAGTAAGAATGTTCCTTATCAGAATGTTTTATCTACTTCTTTACAAAGTCATGACTTAAATAATATAGCTTATTCGCTTTGCAAGGTTGAAAATTTCAATCATTTCGATGATAAAATAATTACTTCTTCAGATTGTGACAGCTCAAGAACTGAATCTGATTGTTTCCACTTGAAACAGCTGTCTCCTGTAGGATCTTTAATGGATGCTAATGAGCAGGCTGGCTTTAACAGCATATCATGTCTTCTCTTTCCTCAGTCTAATGTGCATTCCGAAATAATAACTTGTAAAGAAAACAGCGCATTTAAAACATTGCACCCAGCAATCGAAGGCCAGTCTAGTAATTCTCAGCTTCCAACACAAAAAGCCTCTGATTTGATTTCCTTTAAGTCAGTAGCTTCTCGTTTTGGTGTGAGTCCAGAGCACACCTATGGTTTGGGATATCTTTTCAGTAAGCTTTCCTGCCTTTACAAAGATGCCAGTAATCAGCTGTTTAACAGTACGGTGGTTTCTAAACAATTTAAGGAGTTGGGGAGTTTGTGTGACAGAAGCAAGAGATGTGCACAAGTGGTATCATTAATAAAAAGTCTGCCATTTATAAGAAACTTGCAAGTAAATGTATTCTTCAAATCAGATATGAATCAAGACATGTCCTATTCTACTGATGATGCCAAAGCTCATACTGAAAATGAGTCGTCAGTCATTCAGCCTGAATCCCCTGGGCAAGAGGCTATCATAATGTGTGTAAACAGAGAAATCTCCGAGGCCTGCACAAGAAACCCCTCTGAAGGCTTCACGTGCTGTCGTAAAAGTGAAGAGCTGGAAAACAGTCTTGTCTTAAGACAGAAATTTGTATGTTTTCCTGATATCTTTTTGAAGCTTCAGGTCTGTTCTCTGGAAAAAGTGCTGGAATTTTTGACCTGTGCCTTACCTCAAATTTGTAGTAGAATGGAGGAGTTGAAAGGTATATATTGGGTCGCTGTTGGCAATTGCAAAAAACCTGATCCAGAACCTGCTTGCTTGCTTTTGTTCAGCTCCATTCTGTATGTTGTTGTTTCGTCAGTCAAACAAGACATCTGCCAGAGTTGCTTGGCAATGTTTCATGAGGTTCCCATTGTTACGGTCAAGGAGATTCAAGTTGGCTTTGCTGGACAGAATATTAGTCTTCTGTGTTCTGAAAGTTGTTTACTCACAATATTTACCTATGACAAACACTTCACTCAAAGAATTTGCCATGACATAACGAGTGTTTTGATTTCTACAATGGATGATGCTGCTTATTTAAATCACCAGCTCCTGAATGATGATTTGATGCAGATTTCGCTTGACTGGACAGCAGAAGTAAATGACTTAGTTTTTGCAAATGGAGTACGATTGTCCTGTAAATTTAGAACTGAATTAGCTGATCTGGTTTACTTGCTCCATGAAAATATGGGAAGTATTAAACCTTCATTAGGTGACATTCACGTGCTGCTGTATACCTCAGTGACAGTAGACTGTGCTAAGCAGACTGTGTATAGAGCTCTTGTTCTTACAACTACTCATATAGGTCTCTTAAAGAAAAATAATGTCTCTTATCTGGCACCTAACTTTCTGGATGCTTCATGCCAGCAATCACAGTTTGACAGCCTTCAGTTGTACAGTTTGAATGATATCCGATGTGTAGTTTTGCCAGACAAAGAGAATTTCACAAAAATTGAGCTTGTGTTTTCTAGAAGGAATAAGGTTGGATCTGATTCAGGAATTGGTTTCTCTGAATACAGGGAAAAAGAAATAAATACTCAACTAACAGTCATCCCATCAATTCTTCAAAGCAGTTTGCATATCCCTTCAGAAATATGGAAATTAACATTCAGTTCAAGTGAAGAAGCCATTTGGCTAATTATGCATCTGACTAGGTGTTGAAATCCAAATACGTTTAGATACATTCAAAATAAGAGGCTGATGAATATTGTAAGTTTTTAATTTTATTTCTATCAATATTCTATTCTATTCTATTCAATATTTCTATCAATAGGCAAAAAAGTCCTTTGAGCCTGTGAGGGAATACCGTAGGGTTTGTACACACATCTTAACAAAAATCATTATTGCTTGAGTGCTTGCTTCTTGTGGGTCTCTGATATGCTGTACATATATTTCCTGGGAAACTGAGGAAATTAAGTATTTCTATCTTATGTTGTAGGTAGATCAAAAAGATAATTACAGCTGTGTCTTGTGATTTCCATTGTGGCTGTGTTTTGTGGCTCCCTCCATCTACTATCTATCTTTATTAATGTCTTCTCCATTCCTTCTTGATTGCTTTTTCCTTCATCTTTCTGAGTATCTTTGGTTTTTTGTGATTCTCATTTATTTCAGGCCCATGATTTCAATATTTCAAAACTTCTGCAATACTTTTGTTTTTCAGTCTTACATTCACTGTATGCTCTTAATACTAAGGATGTTTATAGCTTTTATACTTACAATTTTAGGAAGAATAACATTGACAATTCTGTTTTACTTCAGAGTTTTGCATTTAAGGATTATTGCACTCTTGCATTAAAGTTTGTCACAAGTGCGAAAGAAGTTGTGTTTGGCTTATTGTGTGTTGGCTGAGGTACCAGGAATTGATGGATTTGTCATATCTGTTTTCTTCTGGGTTTGCCCCCTTTGCCTCAGGCTGAGAGAGTGTAAGCGACATGGAAGCAATGAAACAGAACAAGAAAAATGCAGGGAACATCCAATATTCTTATTAGTTTTCTGCCTCCTCTCCTTTTCTTGCAGGGAAGCAATACATGGCTTTAAGTCATTCCTCTTTATTTTGTCCAAATAGTTAACTTGTACTCTTCCACAACAGAGTAAGTCTTTATATTCCCTTGTTGTGAGTGTTTAACGAAAATGTGATGTGAAAATGAACCTGGTTAAAGGGTGTAAACAGAGGTTGGTTGTGCTTTAAATAGCATTTCAGCCTTTGGTCGTGCTGTTACACATGCGCTAAGACAAGCGTTTTCAGGTTTATCATCTGTGTACATGTTTCTCGTGCTGTTAAATGCATAGTTAGCAACTGGGGATACTGCCTGACGGATGGAGTGAGTTTGACTCTAGAGTTCTCTCTGTATAATGTGCCTGGCCTGAGTTTCCTCTTTTTCTGCTTGCTTACTAATGAGGTGGCTGATGCTGTGAGATTGCATCTCTTACAGTCTCTTTAATATTATATTCCAAGAAATAATAGAACTCTTGAACATTAATAAAAGATTTCCATTAGTCGAGGCTTGCCTTTAGCTTAGTACAAGGTTATTCTTTACCTGTTATCCCTGTTAGATGTTTAAATAATAAATAAGCTGTTGTCTCCCATCTTTTGTTTCTTCCCTTGTAAAGGGAGCTGAATACCTTTTGAATCCTGTTTCTTGAATGTACCATCTGCCTTGTTGGAGGAAGATGATCTTTGGCAGAAAAAACAGTGGTATCTAATCTGAAATTCTAAATTCTGTAAGCATATTGCCAGTAGAGGTGCAATCTTCTACCAGACAGAGTTAGACTTCAGTCTCTCTACTAGTATAAGAACATTTCCCATTTGTTCTTACCATATGTTAAGATAGGATAATGTAACTCACATGGGATTTAAAAAGAAATAGCTTGCATTGGATGGGGAAGTTGTGTCTGGAAGGATGAATGTTGCTCTGGATAGAGAACTATGGTATTGTGGGGGTTTTTTATCACAACGAAACTTTCTGCTACCTTAAGTCCAAAGATGAGCAAAATGTGTCACGTTATTTTGGGGTATGGTTTTTGTTTTTAACAAAAAAAGTATATACAAATATCTCACAGAACATGGAGTAGACAGAGTAGTTACGAATTGGAGCATAACCTCCTGTCAGTCCAGTTCAAGAGTGGCTCCCTCATTGACATCACCAAGGCCTTGCCGAAAGTTAACACTGAGTGGCACTATCTGGGAGGATTGTCATAATCAAGGCTGTTAAAGGTGAACCTGCTTTATCAGGAGGGATGGACTAGGTGATCTCCAGAGGTCCCTTCCAACCCCTGCCATTCTGTGGTTCTGTAAAGGACAGCAATTTCTGCAAATAATTCCTTTTCATATTATACCTAAAGTTAAATGTTTGTGCATGTAATGTTCCTAATAACATGGTTTTCCTCTTTCTTGTTTGTTTTCAAATGAATGAATATTCAGCACTTTATGGGGAAAAAAAAAGACTTCACAGAAATATCTCTTATTCTACTGTAAATTAAACATAACATAATGATCAATGGTTATGAATATCAAAGCATTATTGAATGTATTAGGGCACATTTTTCACAATACTTTGTGTTTCATATTATTTTCATCACTGACTATTAGCTCTTTGTAATCGTTCTCTGAAAATTACTGCCAATAAATTACATGTTGACAGAGGTGGCTATAAGAGTGACTTTATGGTTTTATTATTGTTTTAAAACAGATGATATTGTTGTCAAGGCAATGAACTCCTCTTTTACCCCAAGGAAAGAATTGCTTACACTTCTATGCTTCAGAAGTGAGTTTTAGTTGAAAAGCCAGTAACATGGGGAAAAGTGAAAGGAGGGCAAAATGGAGAGGAGAAAGTATTTGTTGTGTAAACAAAGGTCACTAAAAATATTTTTCCATTGAAACACAAACTTACATTTTCACACAAAAAAGAAGAGTTTGTGGAAAACACGTTCTAGTTAAAGTCAGTTAATTGAAACAAAAATTCACTTTCTTTGTATTTTTTTTTTCACTACTTTTAATGCGAATGTTAATGGAAGTGACACTGACATTTATAGTTGGCTGGTAGTGAAATAACAGCCTCCCCTTCTCCAGAGCTTGGTCAGGATGCCAAAAAGCTCTCTAATAGGCAGCATTCAGACAGGTGTTTATGAGTGGGTTTCAAACTTTTCTCCAGCTCCTACACAATATCACATGTACTGGAAGTCACCAGGAGTTGCTACAAAGAAACCAGGTGTTGGGGAGTAGAAGTGTGAGCCATATTCACGTTGGTCAAGACTTAAGAATTTTGACCAAGCAACATGTCTCATGGTAGTTGCTAAAGGATTGAAAATGAAGGTTGAGAATACACTTACAGATCAAGTGATGGATAGCATCACTAAATACAAATATATAACATGTCATAACTTTAAAGTGATAAGGTTTTTATCTTTTTTGTTATAGTTAACTTACATTTGTCATAGTGTTGTTATTTTTTAAGTACAAGTTCATTAAGGTTTTCAGACCAAAAACATTCAATCAAGAAAGTGGAGGATTTCCTAAAAGGCCATTTCTGTACTTATTAACTGTAAATGCTTATGCCACTTTTGGCATAAGCAAAGCATTAATCTTTTCACTTGCAAAAATATTTTATTTTTGTCATAACTTCAGAGTTACAGATTCCATCTGGCTGTTAGTGAGAAGAATGTGCCCTCATTACAAATACCTTTTTAGATTGTTTTGTCCAGACCATGCAAATTTATCATGGTTGAGTTTTCTGTTGATTAGATATGATGTAAAGAAAATAGTAGGAAACTGTTCTGGCGGTGGATTGCTATATTATCTATACCTTATTTAATTATAAAATGCATTCATGGTTTTTACAGTCTAAGAGCTTTCTGAATTGCCTCAATCCCCTGCAGCTTTGCATGATATTGTAAACAGGTTTGATGTATAGAGACATTCAAAAATATGGCTGACTGTGAAGGCTTGGTTCATACATTTATTTTTTTAAAAGAAGGTTAATAAAAATTGTCTGCTTTCCCTTGTTTTTGATACCTAAGCTGAAAATGCCTTTTCAGAGAAAAAGCAGTATTTTTGAAGACACTTCGCCTTAATTTTTTCATGCCTAACAAAATGCTAGGGCTTGCTTATAAAATGAGATCCACTTTGTTTTCAAATAATTCCTTCGTTTTAGAAATAATTTCTGTCTCCTCTATGCTCTCTTTACCTGCTCTTCCGGCCAAGAACGTTTTCTCATTTTTAGTGAAGTTCTTTTCTTTTTTTCCTTACGTAGTGATTTTGGTTTTCCTTTGTTCTCCCTATTTGGTATGCACATGAAAGCGGATGGTCTGTCGTTCACTGGGAGCAAATCCAGATGACCTAAAGGACCCAATTAAAATTAGTATTCCACGCTATGTCCTATGTGGGCAGGGAAAGGATGAACACTATGAGTTTGAAATAAAGGTAAGTGCTTTTCAGTTGCTTCTCCTTAATGTTTGGGGTCTCTGTACACATTTTGCTTGCATTTATGCAACAGTAGCATCATAGTAACAATAATAGTAGAAAAATGTCTTTTGTTTAAAAACAAATAGTTCCTAGTTTGCTCTGTCCAGCTGTTGGTGTTCAGCTGTTGGAGTTCACTGTGACAGCATCAGCTGGAAACGCACCTGGCAATCTGCAGATTCCAGAAATCACTTTAATAACCCCAATGAAATGTTTTTGTTCCACTAAGTGCAATTTTTGGTTCTCTTTCCACTGTCTAAGTGGCCTCAGTACTGTTAAATAAGAGAGGCTGTGAGAAGGCATGTGCAATACAGGATGCTGTGAAGACAGGCATTTTCCAAGTGGATCGATTGTACACAGGAGGCTGGTGGTCAAATTCTTGGAGTGAGCAGTTCCAGATCCAATGTCAAATAATTGTTGAAAGCGTTGTGGAGATGAGGATTAAGTGCATATTGGTTGCAGGAAAGCCCTTTATTGAGCTGTGAATGTCAGGTATAAAAAATTATTAGACTTGGAATATTTACCTGTAATAGTGAAAGCATAATTAAAGTATTTTGAACGTATCCACAACAAAGGCTCAATTCCTTTCAGGCTCTTTGTTGATCTGATTCTTCCCATCCTGTGTTTCCAAGGTCTCCCATCTCCAACCTGTTACCTGCTTCCGCTCCATTCTAGTAGCTTCCTTAGTTGATGTTCTGTGCAGAAATGCTGGAAAAAATGCATATTCATTATGTTTCCTCTGGTACTAAGCCAGTGTTTTTTCAAAGCAAGATGTGAAATCTAATTGGAAATGTGCTCTTGGTGCGTGTGGACATGTAGCATAACTGATGTACATGGCATCAGAGACAGAATTGGCATCCTTCTTCACTGAATGTACTGCCAGATGCTTTGTTAGCTGGTGTAAGTTGGAGGAGTGACCTGCCCTCATGGTGTGCAGGACCATTTTTGAACTATGATCAAATTCTCTTTTATAAAGGCTTTTATTAAGATGGGCAATCTTAGCTCTTGCTAATTAAATTTTCATCTTGAACCTACTGCAGTTTGTGGATGGAATACTTCCTTTTGCCTGTTGAACTTTGAATTTCCTGGGGCCAGCGAAAGCCCAGAGCCAAAGAGATACTGAGAAAAGAGTAAGCGCATATGAGACTTCCCCAATGACTTCCCAACTATTTTCAGCACACAGGATTTACTAAACTGGGTAGTGGAAAAAGATATTTTCTCTTTTTAGTAAGCTGGTGGATTTCTTTTCCAAGTATTCTCCCTTCATCCCTAAAACCCATGTAAGCATCTGCAGCAACTTAGGACAGAGGGACAGTTAAAAGTATGTGCAGGAAGACTTGGACTTACCTCGAAGGAAATGTAGGAAGAGAAAAATGTTGGAGGGGGGTGGGGTTCATAACTAGGAAGGAACAGGAGTATATACCAAAGACAGCTACAAATGCATATGAAACTAGGCTGCAGCAATTATCTTGCTCATATTTTGTTTCTGTGAAAAGCAAGGCTTGCGACCTAACCTCAGTGCTAGCATGGAATGAGCAGATGCCCTAGGTAAGAGCAGTGTATATGGAGTGGCTATTCTCTTCTGCCACACTTTCCATACTATCTTTTCTCTCTCTCCTGTGCCATCTCTAGGCTGCCTCTGAAAGAAACTGCTGCTTAAGTAACGGCTTTGATGAAGTTCAAAGCAAAGAAATGGATGACATATGGGATAGGGAATAGGCTGTCATTTTAATAATTGCATTCCATTGCTGTCAACTTCTTTAGAGCACTAAATATTTTTACTGAAGCTCCTATGGACCTTAGTTTGGCTGTCTCTGGGATGTTTATTGTAGTCATTCCCTTACACGAATCAATCAACTGTTTATGCTTTTTCTTTTGCCTCCAGGTCTCTGTATGTTAACAGTGGGCTGCTTTTGCTGTGGTCAGGATTTGGCTCCAAGCTACAATCCACAAACCTTCCACAAACTTTTCTATTTTAAACCTTTCCTCTGTAGACGTCCCAGCTCTACTTTGATCTATATTAATCTTCAGTTGCTGCTATGGTTATTCTATGGGAAATTGGAATACATGGAATAGTGATAATTTTTTTTTTTTTTTTGGTCTTAAAAATCAGGAAAGTAGGAAGACAGAACAGGGTGGAGAGAATATGTACCTGTGTTTTTATCTCTTCTTGATGGGTCAGGATACAATGTCAGTTGTTGAAATAATTTCTGATATCATCCTTACTTTACTTTGTTCAAGTTTATTTTAAGGTGATCTTGTATCAGAATAAGTGTCAGGCTTGGGGAAGGGCTGAGGTGGTGTTAATATCATTTCCTTTGCTAGGTCCCAAATAAGATTTCTTCACCAAGGTTCCTCTTGCTCTTGGGAAAATGGGTAGCTGACCTATTTGCATGTAATAGCACTTTGAAATCTGACGAAGAGACAAGGGATGACTGGGTTGCATTGGAAACTTTTGAATCCTAGGTATCATGGAAGTATTTTCTTCAGCAGGTGTTTCTAGTCATTGTAGTTAAATCTGGCATATTGCTGTATAAGGGAATAAATATAAAAAGTTTCTATATGTAACATATATAAATTTCTTTGTGACACGCAGTAGTAAAGATTATTTCCTTTATATGCCAAAAGAGAGAGTGTGGGTTCCACTTTCCTTGGCAGCATCACAGTCAGTTCATAAGTCTTTCAACCCTGACATACCATCCAAAAATATTTTCTTTTATGCATGTTAAGCATCTTGTCCATCTAGACATATGTAACATTTGGGAATGGGCCAGCAAGGTGGTCTGTCTGCTCAGGTTCTTCCACTGGATACAGATCCTACTTTAAGATGTTGAGTGACTCCCATGAGAACCTATTGGAGAGAGTTCAAAAAAGAAACAACCCCATACTTTATTACAGTTAAGACCTCACCTTCTCCTTTTGCAACAAGAGATGTCACGGAGCTGTTTGTGCTGATCTGCTCTTAAGTATTCAGTATGAACAGATAGATTTCCGAAAAAAACTTCCATTTGAGTGACAGTTTTATGTGTTGCCTTTAAAGACATGATGAAACACTAGTAGCTTAATCAGGTCTAAACATATTTATGTTACATCTGAATTAGAATACCAGAAAGCTGTTCTTGTATTCTCCTCTTCCTTTCATGTTGTTGTGTTACACAGAATATTCAGACACGGCTGTGCTAGAAACAGCGTGTGGGAAGAGCTTTTGCATGGATAAGATCATTGGCATCTGTTGCAGGCAGTACCTTTGGACGGCAGCAGGAGCAGTGAGGCAGCAGGGAAGGGGGAACTCCAGCTCACATAAAGGCACGCAGGGTCTCCTGAGAGCAGGTGATGGAAGGAAAGCCTGGAATCAGGCACAGCCTTGCAGGGGATCCTCTGACAAGAGGGAAAGTTGTAGATAAGCCTTCTCATTTTTGTTCAGCTTTTCCTCATTCTGAGTTCTTTCATTTTATTTATCCTGCTTGATATTACAGAATCACAGAATGTTAGGGGTTGAAAGATCATCTAGTCCAACCTCCCTACCAGAGCAGGACCACTTAGAGTAGATCACACAGGAACACGTCCAGGAGGGTTTTGAATGTCTCCAGAGGAGACTCCACAACCTCTCTGGGCAGCCTGTTCCAGTGCTCTGTCATCCTCACAGTGAAAAAGTTTCTCCTTATGTTAATGTGGAACCTCCTGTGCTCCAGCTTGCACCTGTTGCCTCTTGTCCTATTATTGGCCGTTGCTGAGAAGAGCCTGGCTTTTTCTTGTTTCACAGCCTTTCAGTCATCTCTGATGAGTTCTCCATAGGAGAAAATCCAGGCAGATGCATCACAAAGCAGTGCTTTTCTCTAGGTCTGGTCATAGTTCTTCTCAGCCAAATGCTGTGGTGGGTCTGCTCAAAATGTCCATGTTCCTAGTCTATATTTCTCTCTGTGCTTGGCAAACTGTTGCAGAATTGGGAGTAAAGCAGAAGCAGTGCTCACTGATAAATAGTTCTTAAAGAAAATGATGCATGCCTCATATGTACCTAAATTAGAAAAAAGAAAAAGCCCAGTCTTCTGTTGACTCTATCGGATTAATACCTTCAATAATAAATAAAAAAAATTACAAGAAATTTTTAGGCAACTTTTAGCTTTTCAGATACTGTATTCATAGACAGGGTGAGGAACAGTTTCAATGAAGTCTGTTTGGAGAAATAAAAATTTTCACAAAAACTGTAGACAGTTTAACCAGCCCAGATAAGTAAGGTGGCCATTTTCTGTTCTTTCTGATTGCTCCTGAATCAGATGGAAAATTCCTCCCCACCCCATCTCCCCCTGTCCCTGCTCCCCATGGTTTTATGAGGCAGAAGAGGAACAAATTCTGTGATGAGTGGAATGAAATGAAAATGTCTGTTTCGTTATTTTCTGTTGGTTATCATGAGAAGAAGAAATAAGGAGACAGGGCTATAATATCTCCTCTCAAATTTATAGGTTTTACATAGGAAATGGTGCACTTGAATGAAAACAAACAAAAACACAAGAAAAACAAACAACAAACGAAAAACCAAACCCCACAAACCACAATTCTGAGGCAAGTATAGGATCTCCTAAGTGCCCAGATAAGACACATTTTCAAAATACTCCTATAGATTTGTTCAACCATATATCTTCTCTGTTATTGAGAAAATAGTTTAACTACTATATTAGCAAATTAGAAGTAAAAAGTAAAGGGCTTTTCAAATTTGCTTTATTTGTTCAAAAGATTTGAATATGTCTCCATCCCATAATTACAGAGTATATAGTCTGTCATATGGCTTTTTTTAATGGGTGAAAAGAATCCCAGCCCCAACTGGTTGGGTCACTAATAGGAGTAAAGGGCCCTGTTCTAAAAAATGCTGTTGCTATGCCAGGTGTGCTGTAATTCTCTTCTTTATATGAGTGGAGTTTGATCCTGTCTGTCCTAATAACATTATTGGTGAACTTTGGGGACCAGTTAAGATTTTGTTTAGCTTTGAAATTAATTTTCCAATAGTATCAGCAGTAACAACAATAACATTTTGCAGTACATTACCTGCTAGTCTCGTTACAAGAATTAGGAAACTAAGCAAAGAGGGTGACAGGGACCGAGTCTGGTCAAGCCAAGCCATCAGAGAACACTGGAGAAAATCCTTCAGTTCTTAGGCAGCACAAATATATGGCTGTGCTGTTTTCCTTCCTGTCTATCTCTAATAAATTGTTTATTAAACTGTAGAAGAAAGCTAATAAGTAATTGGCTGCAGGCGGTTTGATTTGGGTAAGTTTGGTACCACCCTATCCCCTAGACAGCTGTCAGATGCACAGCCAACATCGTCATTGGCAAGCTGAGATACATGCTCTTCCCCAGGCTGTATAGCCAGAAGTGTCCTGGATGCTTTGTGTTAGGTTGCTGCCCTAAAGGCATGCTTCTGCAAAAACCGTAGGGGGAAAAAAGAGGTCACTTTTGAATAAAGTTCATGTACAAGTGAAATTGTACGTGAGTCAGAAATATTAAAATAAGGAATTCAAGAAAA